GAGGTGAGAACTTCCGGAGTCTGCCGTCAGGTTTGCCTCAACTTACTCGAATTGGATGTCATTGCTGATTTCTTTCCCTTAAAGTTGGGTTCTACGGATGTCATTCTTGGTTTTCCTTGGTTAGCATCCCTCGGGGACTCAATGATGAATTGGGACAACATGTCTATGAAGCTCAATTTGGGAGGTGTCCGGGTAAAGTTGCAGGGCGACCCTTCTCTCTGTTCCTCTCAGGTATCTTTGCATGCCATGATGCGCAACTTACAACATGAGGGACAAGGGGTTTTGATAGAATTAAAACAATTGCAGATAGTGGATCCTCCGCTGAACTCTGTCTTGCCTACATCACCGCCAATCTCCACCTTACTAGATGAGTTCAAAGATATTTTTGACATGCCTACRGGCTTACCCYCTRCACGGGCTACGGAACATGCTATTGTCTTACAGGAAGGCACTTCTCCTATCTCTGTTCGTCCTTACAGATATCCTCAATTCCAGAAAGATGAGATTGAACGTCTTGTCTCTGAGATGCTGGTTGCGGGTATTATTCAGCCAAGTACAAGCCCCTACTCAAGCCCGGTCCTTTTAGTCTAAAAGAAAGACGAAAGTTGGCGTTTTTGTGTGGACTACAAAGCCCTTAACCGTGTTACGGTTCCGGATAAGTTCCCCATTCCGGTCATCGAAGAAATTTTCGATGAGCTCCATGGTGCTTCTATTTTCAGCAAAATTGATCTTAAATCGGGCTACCACCAGATTCGGGTCCGCAGTGAGGACATTCCCAAGACTGCATTTCGCACCCACGAGGGCCATTACGAATTCCTTGTCATGCCCTTCGGTCTCACCAATGCGCCCTCGACCTTCCGGTCATTAATGAATACTGTATTCCATGATTTCCTTCGTCGCTTTATGCTCATATTTTTTTATGATATTCTGGTTTACAGTGCTTCTGAAACTGCCCATTTGTATCACCTTCGATAGGTCTTCTCTGTGTTGCGCACCCACCGTCTCTTTTCCAACTCAAAGAAATGTATCTTTGCTCAGCCTAGCATTGAGTACCTGGGTCATATTATTAGCGTAGCTGGTGTTTCTGCCGATCCTTCTAAAATCCAGGCCATGGTTGACTGGCCTCAACCATCTTCACTTAAAGCTCTTCGTGGTTTTCTGGGACTTACAAGCTATTATCGCTGTTTTGTGCATAACTATAGTAAAATAGCATGGCCATTGATGCAGCAGCTTAAAAATGATGCTTTCTCATGGAATGCGGAGGCTGAGAATGCATTTCAGGAGTTGAAACGAGCTATGACGACCGTACCAGTGTTGGCCCTTCCACATTTTTCCCAGCCCTTCTTGATCGAGACAGATGCATCCGGGGTAGGTCTCGGGGCGGTATTAATGCAAAATAATCGGCCTATAGCTTTTTATAGCCACAAGCTTAGCCCGTTGGCACAGTCAAAATCTGTCTACGAGAGGGAATTAATGGCCATTGTCTTTGCTATTAAAAAATGGCGCCCCTATCTTCTTGGAAGACGCTTTATTGTTCGGACCGACCAACGGAGTCTCAAGTATCTATTGGAGCAACGGATTGTCGAAGGTGAGCATCATAAGTGGCTTCTTAAGCTTATGAATTATGACTTCGAGATTCAGTACTGTTAGCGTAGGGGTATTTTTGCTGATCTGTAATGTTGTGTTGGAACAAGTGCTCTTAAGTAAGGGCACATAGGTCTTTTCAGTTATGTTTTAGTAATAATATAAATACTTCCTGGCCGACTGGGAGAAGTCAAGTTGACTCTTTCAGTTCGAACCAGAATTCTCTCTTCTCTCTTTCTCTTTCTCTCTTTCACCTTTTCTTCTACCTAACTAATCTCAGACAGGCAGAACTCTAAGGCAGACCTGAATCCTAACAAGTACAAACCGGGTGCCGATAATACCGTGGCTGACGCCCTATCCAGAGTTCCTGCCGAAATGCACTTGAACTCACTTACAGTACCTATTTTTCTTGATTTTGATGACCTTAAGGAGCAAGTTGATGATCCTTTTCTGGCCAACATCAAGCATACCATACAGCAAGATCCGGCTGCCTATCCCGCCTATTCTTTAGTTGGAGAACACCTACGTTATCATGGTAAATTGGTTCTGTCGGCTTCTTCCCCATTTATCCCCCTCTTACTTAAGGAGTTTCATTCGGGAGTTGTGGGAGGACACGCGGGTATCCGCCGGACATATAGGCACATAACAACTGACTTTTACTGGCGGGGGATAAGGCGTTCTGTCCAGGAGTTTGTGCAGGCCTGCGATGTGTGTCAATGCAGTAAATATGAAGCCATGTCCCCTGCTGGCCTTTTACAACCTTTACTCGTACCTGAACAGATCTGGGAAGATATTGCTATGGACTTTATTGAGGCTCTTCCTAAATCAAAGGGGTTTGATACAATTATGGTGGTGGTCGATCGTCTCTCCAAGTATGCCCATTTTATCCCTCTCAGTCATCCCTTCTCAACTCTCACGGTTGCTCAGGCCTTCCTGCACAACATAGTCCGTTTACATGGCATTCCCCACTCGATTGTATCTAATCGTGATAAGGTCTTTATGAGCTTCTTCTGGCGCGAGCTTTTTACCCTGCAGGGTTCAGAATTGCGTCGTAGCTCAGCTTACCATCCTCAGACAGATGGACAGTCAGAGGTGGTTAATCGATGTTTGGAGACTTATTTGAGGTGCTTTGCGGCTTATTCCCCCTCCCGCTGGTCTTCTTGGATATCGTGGGCAGAATACAGCTATAATACCTCTTTTCACACTGCTGTTGGCATGACACCTTTCAAGGTGGTTTATGGGCGTGATCCTCCATTAATCTGCTATGAGCTTGGCTCTAGGGCTAATGCTGATGTTGAAGCTGTTCTCCTTCAGTGAGATGCTATACTCAGGGAGCTACGTGCTCATCTACACCGGGCACAACAAAAGATGAAAGACTCGGCTGATGTGAACCGTCGTGATGTTAATTTTGAGGTTGGGGATTCGGTGTATGTACGAGTGCGACCTTATCGCCAGCAGTCTCTAGCTCGCCGAGCCAATGAAAAGCTTGCCCCTCGATTTTATGGACCATTTGCTATTGTGGAAAGAATTGGTGTTGTCGCTTATAAACTTCAACTTCCTCCAGAGGCAAGGATTCACCCTATTTTTCATGTCTCACAACTCAAGAAGGCAATTGGCAATCATATCTCTTCTCCCGTGATTCCTTCCACTCTGTTAGCTGATATGGATGCTGGTGGAACCTACGGCCGTTCGGGGGGTGCGTCCATCTACTATGTCTGGAGTTACTGGTTCGGAAGTGCTTATCCATTGGCAAGACCTGCCTGATTTTGAAGATTCATGGGAGCCTTTTGACTTACTTCGCGACCAATTTCCTCATTTCAACCTTGAGGACAAGGTTAGACTTTGGGTGGCGGGTAATGATAGGCCCCCAATTAATTTTACATACACCGGGAAGGGGAAAGGTCAGTTGGCGGCCAAGGGGGGGAAATAATTGAACATGGGGGAATTTATGGCTGGAGTGAATAAGGAGAGTTTTTGTGGCATTTATAGCTTGTCAGTTGAGAATAGGAAGAGTATAGGGCATTTAGCATTTATAGCTTGTTAGTTGGGAATAAGAAGAGTGGGGCATTTATATTTCAGCCAACTGGGCATTTATTATGGAAGGCAGTTATGCTGTAAGATGTGTATAAGAAAGGGCTTTGGGGGATGGAAAAGACGGAATTTTGCTGAGTACAGAATTCTGAGAGTGCTTGGGAGAACCGGCGGTCTCTCGAAGAACCGACCTACTGTAAGTGATCTTCTTTTCTTCTGAATGAATATCAGTTTTCTATTGAAGTACTAGTGGTTTGGATTCTGATGCGAGTCTGTGAACTGCGTGTCAAATTTCGGGGACATATCATTTATCCTTATAAGTTTAATTGTCAACTACTGGTTGGTTAAGCACCAGGACAGTCTGATCCAAAAAGGTATTCAGTGTTTTGCCTAATGGGCAGGGTTAAATTATCATCACTAAGTCTTGATATATCACCTGACCACATGTATCTATTTTTTATTTTTTATTTTCTTTTATGGAAATACAGAGGAAGGTATGCATGTGGCAAATAGCCTGGGGTTGGTGCAGAGTAATTTCAGAAGCCTGGGTGGATGATATCTGTTACTATTGGAAACTTCAGGCTATATGTAATTTACCAAACAAAAATTATGTCAAACATGAATAGGGTCCATCTTAATTGACCCCATATAGAGTACAAATTGGCTCAATTTGGTGATGGGAGATGGCACTTATAGGTGGCAATCTGCCGTGCACCTAATTAATTTGAAGAAAGAACATGTTGAACAACGGAACTGATAGTCGTTAAATAACAACTTTAGAAACATGAATCACAGACTTTAGGTACAAAACTTTATCAAATGGCTTTACCAATTTTTTTTTTTTTTCATCCCAAGATTCAGAAACGCCGTATTCTTGTATATTCTGACTTGCTCTATTCCCATTTTATACAGCGGAGATTAAGAAATTTCTCAACAAGACCACATGTACTTTTCGGGCGATGTCATTTCTTCATCTGTGAGATTGTTAACGTTAGGTTTGACATTGAAGCCCATTTTCTGAATGAAGAAAGAAAATGCTTGAACTTCTCCCAAAGGAAACAAAATATAAAAGGGAGAGAACTATACCAAAGTGAGTTGAAATTCTAGGGAGTGGTGTTCATTTTGGATCCCACTTTTCTTCGTTTTGGTAGAACATTTCTTATGATGATAGTAAAATTTATATATTTATTTGCATTTGACAGCAATTTGATTCTCATTTATGTTCTAGTTTGGTTTAATCAGTGACACTCAGCTGATAGTAAATTTATATATTTATTTGCATTTGACAACAATGTGATTCTCATTTATGTTCTAGTTTGGTTTAATCAGCGACTCTCAGCTATCTTTTCTTTCCATTCCATTTGGTTCATTACTCTCCTACCCCGTTGGTAAAAACCCACTTTCAAGCAGACAGCTAACTGAAATCGTTTGGCAAGTTGACGCATTTTACTTTCAAGCTGTGGACTCTGGAAATGCTCATGCTAAGCCTATATACCGCTCTTTTCTTTTGATGTCAATCTGGCTTGTTTCCATATTCAATTAATTTCCATTTTCAAATTTGCCAAGTGGATGAAAAGATAATTTTTAAATGGACTCTATATTTCACTGAGTTTATGGGTGGGGCATGCCAAGGGTCTGGATCACCTTTCTGATTATCAATTTTGATGGTGAAGAATAAAGTTACAGATATGTTCTTAAATATAATGAAAAAAAAAAACCAGGTGGCAAAGATCACTGCTTAATTTCTGTATGGCCAAGTAACCTCTCAAGTCATACTGGTTCCTTGACAGTCTGATCCCGTGAACATCAGACTCTATGGCTGGACGTCCATTGACGCTCTTTCATAGAAAAAATTTGGAGAGAATAATTATTACCTTAGAAATGGTAATGAAAATGTCAACAAAGAGTTGACCTAAATCTAATGGATACTGGTTGAAAACAAAATAATTCCAGTATGCTCTGTTCTCATCTAAGTTTGGTTGGATTAGGTTATATGTAGTCTAAGGCTCTAAGCCCAAATCTAAAACTAAAATCCCGTCTGCGGTAGACTGGGCTGGCGTCTTTCTGCTACAGGCACGAATCAGTGGGGGTTGATGTACGTAATATGACCCAAATGTCTAAAGTTCAATAACCTCTTTCTAGATTTGTTTGATCTAGATCTACTAATGATCTTTGTAGGGCTATAAATAGATACTGTTTGCCCGATTTGAATTAAAAATTTGATCTAATTAAGCTGCTCCAAATTTCCAAATTCAATCTGTCTATAATTGGATCGAGTATTGGTTGGCAACAATGGCTATATACCTAAGACAATCTATTTCGATCTGAATTTGATAATATTTAACTATATACACATTAATTTGCATTTACTGGTAAAGTTGGTTTAGTTTTTTTTTTTTTTACTAAAGACTCATAGGTTCAACCATTCAAGATTCGTGGAAGTTATTTTTGAGTGATATTACTCGTATGTAACATCATTTTGAGTTCATGTTTTTAATAATTTTAATACTGTAATCATTTTAGTTTAATTTATTATTGGTATGCAATATCTGAATTTTATTCCAGTCCAATCTAAATCTATAATCTGAATATAGATGGAAATGGAGTATACCCCATTTGAATCCAATCTGTTGGTCAATGACCTCATAATTCAGATAATCACTATATCACTCACAAAATGATGGCGCGATATCAACCTTGTGGAACTGCAACCTCTCTAAGGTATGGCCAATGGGCCTCGCGCCCCTACTATAACATTGATTAACCCACTGATAAAAGAGTGGCATAAACTCGGCTTCTAAAGGCCCAAAGCCTAACTGCTGAGCCAAAACATGAAAAAAAGGAAAGAAAGAAATCCAATCCATTGGGTCCCTAGATCAGTTCCCATTTCCATGTTTTAGGTACTGTTCAGTTTGTGTTTGAAAAGAAAAAAACTTGGTATAATTAATAAAATGATTTATTATCTTGAAAGTGTAATGTATTTTTTAAATTCAATCAGCTACGTTTAATTTTTCCATTTCAAATTCATATTGTTGGTGGAGGTTCCTTATGGATGTTTCCTTTATTAGCGACCTGGTTCCCTTAGGAAATCGTCACAAGATTGTTCCCGGATTGACATCTTTCCCAGTTTTACAAAATATTTGCTTTGCCTTCTTTTGCTTACCCTCTTCAATTTGGACCCACAGCAGCCACAATTGTTTCCTCCTTCTTGGACTTGGATTCATTCTTTTTCACCTTGGCCCTGCAGTCTTCCTCATGCCTATTCTTGTAGCAATAGTTGGAATATTTAGGAAGGTTTTCATAAACAACTTTCTGCCAAAAACCCTCTCTTCCATTCCAACTCAAGACCTGTCCCATTTCTTGAATGATCAAACACAGGAACATCTCGTTGTGAAGATTTACCAGGAGGGGTGGAAGGTTAATCGAGACATGAACCATCAGTGCTCCCACCCAACTTCAAGCCCTGTCATCCATTTTAACATGCAGAAAGCTTTTAATTGTAGAAGCCTCTTGCAACCAAACCCCAAGATATTCTCTCATCCTCAAAATGCAGCAAAACATGTCTTGGATCTAAGGTAGTCTACTATGTTTTTTTCCATAATAAAAGTGATGATAATATGCTCCCTAATCTCCATCAAGGAAGGGTATCCATAGGAAAACTTACTGGCTAGGACGAAAGGAGGTGAGGGAAAGATTAATAATCTCTGCCTCTAAGGACAGAGTGACCAGCTCTCCACCAGTTAAAGAGAGAAGTTTCAAAGGTATCTCGATTTGATGAGGATAAAGAGAACTCGAAAAAGGGTTGGTAGAAGTACTCACAAATCACAATCACTTTGGGCTCAAGTTGGGTTCATGTATTGATGGATGTGTCTATGGGCCCTCCTGTATCCTCTGCCTCCTTTTTTACTTTTTATAATATATTTTTATTTTATTCTAAAAAATCCATCAATTGCATGGGTTGGATTTTTTGGGTTTACATGGCAATTTCTTTGTCTTTAGAATGTATAATCTGCACTTATAACTTGTTTTGTTTTCATTGCTCTCAATTAATTCAGAATTTTCTTGTTAGGAAATACTACGCATTTTTAATAAATTGGTATTGACTTTCTGGACAATAGACCAGTCAAGAGACTAATTAATTAGAAAATGCACTTAAGATCGGTTATTACTGTGTTATCTTTTCGACATTTTTGTGGTCGATAGTCCAAATAAAAAATAGGAAGGAAATCCAGGGTAGACCGCCCTCCCACCAAAATATATATATATCTTTACTACAACTTTGGCATCCCTGTAATTAGACCATGCTCCTTATATTAGTCTTTCTCTTCATTACAAATCCTAAAGGACAGTACTTAGCTGGCTACTGAGAAGGACTCGATTGGTGGCCATCCAACACTTTTTCAGATCAGATAATGCTGGATGTCACAAAGTTGATTGACATGGATTTCAAACAAAATCTGGGGATCAATTGACATTAAAATCCAAGCAAATTGAGAGGGCTAGATTGAATGCCCGACAAAATAAAGAACCATCTTTGGTTGACAGCACATTGATCTATGCTGATGAACACGGATTTGTTGCTGAAGGTTCAACAGCAACAAAACATGGTGCTGAAGCAGCACCATGATTGGTTTACTACAGCCTACAGGGTTCTCTCTCCAACATGACAACTGAAATCGAGTAGCATGCAACCAATAACTTTACCAATGATGATGATCACAGCACCCTCTTACTGCAAAAGGAATAACACCGCCTCTAAACAAATCCATGCAAAAAAAATGGTAGAATTCGTTTTCCAAATACCAAGATCTTATTTATAAAAATGCATCATCGAAGTATGTAACCAACATCAAGTTAATACAATCTAATGTTTCACCTTTCTCTTAAATCACAGCACCCTCTCTCTCTCTCTCTCTCTCATTAAACCTCACCTTTTGTTCATTTATGTGGGTTAATTACTTAATTAGTGAGAGACAACTTGAACTGTTTATGGGTATAGGGTCCCATGTGTTGACACTACCCGTATTACTATATGTGAAACTCAATTAATAATAATATTTTGCAGAATTAATTAATTACTTAACTAATGTTAGTAATTCATAAAATTATTCATTTGATTTCCATTTTAAAATGATTAACACAATATAAAATTCAAAATGAATTACTGCTTTTATAATTTTAATAATTAGTTACAATAATATTATGCTTTGTTTATATAACAAATTCTTGCATATATTATTAAAATATTTAAACAGTAATAAATTCGACATAATATTATAATTTAAATTGCACGTTGATCAGGTTCAAGGCAAGTTTCAGGGAAACCCAAACTTTGGTGACCAAGGACAGGGTGGGTGGTATTTGTCTAGCCCACCCCAAGCTTTGGCCCTAACTCCCCCCTATAGATTATGTGTGTATGATATATTGTTGTATATATATATATATAATGTATGTATGTATGTATGTAAGCATGTATATATATTATGACACCTTTAATACATATTATATAATATTTTATATATGTATTATATAAAATAGACTTTACACAATAAATAATATTGTATAATCAGCCGTAATAAACATTATTAAAAATAAAAATTTAATGAAAATTAATACATCTTCATCAAACAATGCATACCATAAAACAATTCTTGTGATTAGGGTGCTCATAAAAAATTGAAAAAACCGAATCAAACCGAGAGCTGAACTAAACAATGTGGTCAACTGAACCAATTGGTTTGGTTTTGGTTCTCAGTTAACCTAGAAAAAAATAGTGATTAGCTGAAATGATTGATTTATATCTATCTATCTATCTAGATATAGATAGATAATATACATATGTATAAAATATTAGATGTCATTTATTATGTATAGTATAATATGATATACATACATATATATATATATATATATATTGTAGCATATGTTAAAAACATAAAAAAAAAAAACAAAATACCAAAGAATTGAACTAGTAAAAAAATAAAACTGGTTAACCAGTTAACCGGTAGTATCGGTTCAATTTCAGTTTATGGATTTGCAAATATTGACAATACTAGTTCGATTTCAAAAAGTAGCCCACTGTTTGGTTAACTGAACCATGAGCACCCTTACTTCTGATGGAATTACTCTGACTTAACCCAACTCGAAATGGCATAAAATTCCTAGCTCAATTCTTACACAAAGCCATGGGGAAATTTAGGACTGGGCATGGCTTTGATTTTATGGGGAAATTTGATGGATGTAATGATGGAAATATATCACATTTTTTAATTTGACCAACC